TGCAGAAGCTAACTCTACTGGATTTGAGTTACAACAACCTCTCTAGTCGCATACCCCCTGAGATTGGTCTTGTTACAAGCTTAACCATCAGTTTGGACTTGAGCTCAAATGCGTTTACAGGAGAAATCCCGGACTCAGTGTCTGCTTTGACACAGTTGCAATCACTTGATCTTTCTCATAATATGCTTTATGGAGGAATTAAGGTTCTGGGGTCTCTCACTAGCCTCACTTATCTCAATATCTCCTACAACAACTTCTCAGGTCCTATCCCAGTAACTCCATTCTTCAGAACTGTATCTTCTAATTCATATCTTCAGAATTCCCATCTTTGTCAGTCCATTGATGGAACAACATGTTCTTCAAGTCTGATACGAAAAAATGGTTTAAAATCTGCAAAAACCATCGCTGTGATCGCAGTCATTCTAGCCTCGGTTACTATAATTATCATTTCATCCTGGATTCTAGTAACTCGTAAGCATGGATACACGGCTGAAAAAACTTTGGGGACTTCAGGTTCCACATCAGGAGCTGAAGACTTCTCTTATCCTTGGACTTTCATCCCATTTCAGAAAGTAAACTTCGGCATAGATAATATCTTGGATTGCTTGAAGGATGAAAATGTGATTGGAAAGGGTTGCTCAGGTGTTGTGTACAAGGCTGAGATGCCAAATGGGGAGTTGATAGCAGTGAAGAAGCTTTGGAAAGCAAGCAAAGCAGATGAAATTGTGGATTCTTTTGCTGCAGAGATTCAGATTCTCGGGTACATTCGGCATAGGAACATTGTGAGGCTCCTAGGTTATTGTTCTAACAGGAGCACTAATCTTCTTCTCTATAACTACATCCCAAATGGTAATCTGCGACAGCTTTTACAAGGGAACAGGAACTTAGACTGGGAAACAAGATACAAGATTGCCGTTGGATCTGCTCAAGGTCTAGCTTACCTTCATCATGATTGTGTCCCTGCAATCCTCCATAGAGATGTCAAGTGCAATAACATACTCCTAGACTCCAAATTTGAGGCATATCTGGCAGATTTTGGTCTTGCAAAGCTAATGCATTCACCAAATTATCATCATGCAATGTCCAGAGTTGCTGGTTCATATGGTTATATTGCCCCAGGCAAGTGTACTTGGCTTTCTTTACTTTTTTTTTTTTTTTACCTTGTTTAAATTCTTACATCCTTTACATAATTTACAAAATCAATGCCCTTAGATTTGTTGTCTTAGTTATAGTATTATAGGACATCTAAAGTAGGAACAATGTGCACAAATTCAGTTCAAGTTCAGGAATATCCATTTAAATTCTAACCATGTTTTTATCACCAATGCAGAATATGGTTACTCCATGAACATAACAGAGAAGAGTGATGTCTATAGTTATGGGGTGGTTTTACTAGAGATACTAAGTGGGCGTAGTGCTGTTGAATCCCATGTTGGAGATGGCCAACACATAGTGGAGTGGGTGAAGAGGAAGATGGGAAGCTTTGAACCAGCTGTATCAATACTAGACACAAAGCTCCAAGGTCTACCAGATCAAATGGTGCAAGAGATGCTTCAAACGCTTGGAATTGCTATGTTTTGTGTGAACTCTTCGCCATCAGAACGCCCTACAATGAAGGAAGTGGTTGCTCTACTAATGGAGGTGAAGAGCCAACCTGAGGAGATGGGAAAGACTTCTCAACCTCTAATAAAACAGTCCTCAAATCAAAGCTGATAACCCCCTCCCCCTCTTCCTTTTTTATTATGATTCCAAATTGAAAATGGTTATTGATTGATTTTCATCTCTTCCAAGATGAAAACAAGGGTGCTGCTAATGTGGAAAAGTTGAGAGTAGGGAGCTAGAGAGGAATTGATGTTTCATTTAAACGGCTATTGTTGTACAGTTTCAGCAGTACAGATTTCAGTAATCTGCACTTTGTGATTGTGAAGTAGTATACTCGTGCTTCGCCACCTTTTACTACTGAATAACTATGCTCTTTCATTCAATTTTTCATATTGCTATTCCATGTTATTATGATTTGTTGAAAGCCTAAATGGTTGGCAAAGGGGACTCGAGTCACTCGACATGGCACCGAAAATTTGTCATTTATGCTATATAAATGGTACCAGTTTTTCTGCCTGAAATTCTGCCAATAATTTCCAGGGAAAAGGGACCTCTTTAATTAATTGATTTCATAGTAGAAAGTTAAAGTTATATTTATTTTTAAATTCAAATAAATTATGACCAAGATACATCTTAAATACAAAAAATAAAATGAGTAAAAGCCCTTATTCTTGTTGCTGACTTTATCCTCTTGATGATTTTTAATTCTGTTAAAAATTTTATTTAAGACAAGGTTTACTACAAAATAATACATGCTATTACCATTCACTGTCTGCGGATTTAAATGGTGAGTAGCTGAGTTTCCATTAAGCACCGTCTCAAGTTCTCGTAAACAATGAACATAAGCACTAGGAGAGTTTTGTTTCCTTAACTGAATTCAGTCATCTGGTTCCACACGTATCATGTTCATGCCACTTCCAAGGCCCCTCCACAAAGTAAATATACACCTATTTATTTATTTAAAAATAATAATTTATATCTTATTCTGATTCTACGTAAAATTCTTTGGCGACATTATGTCTCACATCTACAAAAGGGTACAAGAGAGAGCCGAAAGGAGTGAGGCTGACCTGACAGCAAAAATACAGAACCTCTATGGCCCATTGGTCCGAACGTCTGCTGTAGACAAAACATATGCCTTTCTTTTTTGTTATACTTTTCTGTAGAGTAAATTAATTTTTTCATCATGCGAATTGCAAAGATAATCATGAGACATTTTGGCCTGAGTCTAAAGACCTTAAATGGCTTGAGACATCTTGGAGTGCTTGTTATATGATCAAGTCGGACACAGATGCCGTGATAGTAACCTTGTGACTTTAGGATTAGCCTTCACTATAAAAAAACTAATTTTTTTTTATCATAAATTCTAATAAAATGTTGTTTACTGATTTTTTCTTATAAATATTCTTAGAACACACGCAACACTAAATTTGAAGAATGAAGTGACTAAAACATATAAAATGGACTCTGAGGCTTATAGATGCATGAGCTTTATGGAGAGAGGTTTAAGTGTGGGGGGCAAGATTACAGCGTGTTGGGAGACAAAAGGAAACAAAGCCATGCTTCCCTTTCCTTCTTCCATATCTAAGCAGACACTAGATTTTCCTTCTACAGCGAAACTTTGATTTGTCAGACAATGTTGGTCAAAAGGCAGAATCGTCATGTTCATCAGTTTGCTCTAGGAATCTCCCTTCTTATATTGTATTCATCCCCTCCAAGGACCTCCAACAGTTTGTACCATAGCAAATTTTGTCGAAACTAAAAGAACAAAATACTTTTTTTACATTGTACTTGGTAGTATAGATAAACAAGGGGAGAGAAGATAAAAGTTGGTGGGACTCGTCTTTTTTTTTCTTTTTTTTTTCTTTTTTTTTTCTTCAGTGAGTGGCTTCGAAAATGCAACCTAAGTTGTATTCAGTGAAGAACAAAATAGTATTGACAAAGATATCTCGAGCCGTGCACCACCAACTATATAGCTCTTTAAATCAATTGAATTTAGTAAATAATTGGTTGAACTATATTGAAGTGTGTTTATGTTTTCTAATTTGTCATTTTAATTGATTGAAATTCTTAAATAATCAATTAAACCATATTGGAGCGTGTTCATGCCCCTAGAGTTGTCATTTTAATCGAATGAAATTCTTAAATAATCAATTGAATTATGTTGAAATATGTTCATGTTCCTTGAGCCACCTTTTTAGTTAATTGAACTGAAAATATTCGATCGAAACACGTTATTAAAAGTGAGTAGTTTGAACTTCGAAGTTCAACTTAATATGTTCATGCCCCTTGGACAATGCCATGACTTAGTAAAAGGAGGTTGATGGCAAATGATGGACGAATGAATATGTTGTACTGAATGGGAAGTCTCAAGGGAGATGATGAGAATCCAAGGGAGAGTGAGATGATCTGCCAATTTTCTTGTAAGGGTCGTTTTTTATCCTGCAAATGATAAATGTATCAACATGTTGGCATCTCTTAATCATACACGATACCTGTCTCAAGTTTACCATTTGTTCCTTCACGTTACTATAAAGTAACTAACTATATCTAAGAATGCAGACTTGAGAATACAGATTCTTACGGGAACATAATACAAGGGATTACATTCCGAGGTTTTTTTACCTTCATTGTCTATCTTATCAATGGAACTGCAACAAATATAGAAAGCTCATCTTGATTTTCTGATTCGACAATGAAAAAGCCTTTGAGACAACCCAGCTCGAAGCCAAGCTGCTTCAGGTAGTCTCGGATACACCTTGGAATATCTCCCACATGAACACTCATTATGTGGCTGGTCTAATCACGTATTTAAAAGGTAACCTTCAAAAGCATCAAAGTACATCACTTGCTACAATACCGTGTACTTTGCCACATCACACATCTTGGTAAAACAATGGGATCCCCCTTGACAATTGATCCAATGCCAAACTTGTAAACATCTAAGAGCTCGTTACATTTCACGCTGAAATGAGGAAGCACGTGAATATCCATTCATGCTAGTTGATAACCGCCTTTATTATCCAACACTTATAAATACTACCACTTCCTTCTCAGACAAGTATCTTCATCATCCTGTGATTTTTTTACTCTCTAGGAATTTCAACTTATTATAGCATTGAAGTCTCCACAGGTGACACAACCTCCATCAATCATGCTCAACAGAGTAGCAGAGCAGTCAAACAGAGAAACCTCCACATTCGAGTGTGGGCCTGATATTTTGAGCCACCTTGGATCAGGGAAACATTTTTAAAAAAAATATTTCTCTAGTACCTTCTCTGGTTAATTAAAGTGAATGGATCACATGTAGCAGCAAGGAGCTCCAGTAGTGCAGCTATTGTGAAATATGATTCACATATAGATTGAATACATATTTGTTTCTCAATCTAGACCATAAGTATCTTCACGGGAGGCAATTTTATTCAAGTCAATAATATTCGTAACATCCTAGGATTAGCTCTCCAGTCAAAATATTAAATAAACACTAGGCTTGAACAGTTAATCTGTAAAAAAAAAAATTAAACAAAACTAGTTTTCAGATTTGGAGATGATTTATTTAATTATTGTCTACAAAGAATGTGTCTTGCAATAGAAACAAAGGTAATTGACTAAGAAGTAAAAGGAGAGCTCAAGCTGGTCCTTGACATGGCAAGCAATGACAGACACCATTGGGCGGTTCTGAGCTAATAAAAGGATCTGCTGTTCATGAGTTCAAACGGTGTGTAGCCCTGGTGTGAGCAGCCTCCTGAATTCAAATAACGCATATCAACATTAATTGAAATTTGGCAGTGCTACTAATGTATCGCAAAGTCTTGTCAAGAGCAATATCACTTACTGCTAACAATTATGAATTACTAAAAATCTTGCTTTCTTCATATTATTAACCATCAAAACACATGAAATTACGCCATAGAAAAAGTTAGCAACCACCAATAATGCATGATCTAAGTCAGTTGACCTAGCATAGCCAAAATCAACTGAAATCAGCTACAGGAGACCTATTATGATAATATTATGGGACTAAGATTAAGTTTTCATGTTAGTCAAACTTTTCTTTCTTTATCATAATATTATGAGACTAAACCATATTAAAGTTGTGGAGATAGGTTACGAGAACATCTCAATCAACTAGACTTGTAGAAAGAAATAAGAGAGACGAGGTAATATTAATGTTGTGGGTGAACGTAGCGTTTCAACTTCTCCAACTTCTTTCCCTTCATAAAGACTTTTGGAATACTGATAAATGGCTAAGGTCGTGTATGAAACAATCACCAAAACTCTAACCCACGGCTCCCCAACACCAGCAAGCACAGCAGCGATAGACATTACAGCTGAAACATCATCTCTCTTTTTGAGAAACTTTGAAAAAGCATACACCCCAAGAAGAAGGGTCCAGAACAATGGTTCAGAAATATATCCTCTAACAGCGGCATAGCCAATAAGACCAGATACAGTCAAAACATAAGGTTAGCTGTTGATGTTGTTTGGTACAGTAGCTTCAGCAACAGCTAAAACAATTGATGCCAGAACAATGATGATGGTCAGGTCCGGTACGGGAGCATTGCCAATTATCCATGAGTAGCAAGCCCGAACTGTGTAAAATAAATCCTCCATGCATCTAATTGAGAAAGTTATCGGACTTCCTATGAAATGGTAGACTACTGCAAAGGCGTATTTCAAGACGCCATCTATGTCATGTCCTACCTCAACTTCATACACCATCAAACTTCATTCTTCTTTAGACTCTGGTACAGTAGTTCTCAACAGTCATGCAATCATCCATGTCAAGTGCCGGTAGTCGGCCCACTTGGTAGCAACTCGCAAACCAATAGCTAAAGCTGCAAGAAGAAGTGGAATTGGAAGCCTCATCTCTCTTGTTTCAACTTCTCCAACTTCTTTCCCTTCATAAAGACTTTTGGAATACTGATAAATGGCTAAGGTCGTGTATGAAACAATCACCAAAACTCTAACCCACGGCTCCCCAACACCAGCAAGCACAGCAGCGATAGACATTACAGCTGAAACATCATCTCTCTTTTTGAGAAACTTTGAAAAAGCATACACCCCAAGAAGAAGGGTCCAGAACAATGGTTCAGAAATATATCCTCTAACAGCGGCATAGCCAATAAGACCAGATACAGTCAAAACATAAGGTTAGCTGTTGATGTTGTTTGGTACAGTAGCTTCAGCAACAGCTAAAACAATTGATGCCAGAACAATGATGATGGTCAGGTCCGGTACGGGAGCATTGCCAATTATCCATGAGTAGCAAGCCCGAACTGTGTAAAATAAATCCTCCATGCATCTAATTGAGAAAGTTATCGGACTTCCTATGAAATGGTAGACTACTGCAAAGGCGTATTTCAAGACGTACCCTATAAAACGGGCAATCACCAATGCAGCATTCTTCCAGTTTGACAGTTCAAACAGAACAGCTCTCCAAGCATAGATAAGAAAACCCAGTACTGTACATTGACATATAATCAAATTGTTACATGATCACATAAAAGAGAAAACATGTCAATAAGGAAACAAAACAGTCGGGCAAAAATGTTCTAAATGGGAACTCAGTGCATAAAACTTTTAACTCCCTATCACATGTGAGGTTAAAGTTCGTATTTTTAAACAGCATCAAACATTGTAACCATAAGGTATCACTTTATATGACTTTCAAAATTACTTTTAATTGGACACCTAACAAATTATGTAAAATATAATAACTAATTACTCATAGAACAATAAAAGGATAAACTAAAAACCTCTTATGAAAGAATAGTATATATTAAGGGTATAGTTTAGTTTGATTCAGCTGAATTTTAAGAATAGAAATTGAAAATCAAATCCTAAACCCTAAACCCCGTAAGCAAATAGAGAGAGAAAGAAAGGGAAATGGGACAGACCCAGAAACCATGGCCACCTAACAGGAGGAGCGGGAACTTCTTTGGAGAGGTAGCGAAAGCGTTGGGGCATGGTGCTCTTTCCTCGCGCCTCTTTCTCTGCTTCATCGATGGCCGTGAAAACCGTGAAAACGTCACCGGCATTGTCGTTGTCGTTTAGCGCGAAACGCTTTGCGAGGGAGAAGGTGGGAGGTTTGGGGGAAAAGGCGATAAGGTTGCGTCTGAATTGGGGCCTGAAGGGTTGGAGTTTGGTGGATGGGAAAGAGGGTTTGAAGGAGAGGGTGGGAGATACGAGGGACATGGCTTATGCTTATTGCCTTCACTTTCACTGAAAGGGGTAATCAAATGCTCAATCCGCTGCACTTCAGTAATCAAATGCTCAATCCACTGCACTTCATAACACACTAACACTAGTCATTATAGCCAAGTTTTAAAAATCAAAAACACTTCCTAAAGTACAAACATATTGAAACAGAAAAAAAACACTTTTAAAATAAAATTATAATACCATGGCTCATATCAAGAAATTCAACCATTTTAACCAATTATGCTTCCGTGCCGAAACTCAGAAGCGCGGATAATATAAAATCATCGCCAGTTAATTCCAAAAAAAAAAAAACAAAACTCTAAATCGAATAAATAATGTGACGATTGTTTTCAGAGGAACAAGGAAGGAGTCATTGCCCAAGCGAAAACAATCGCGGTTCAATCTGCGCCTCTAGGACTAGCTTGGGTTTCAGAGGTGTTCGAAAACAAGCTGAAGGTATAGCGAGGCAAAATCAAAAAGTAAGAGAAAGAATTGAAAGGGGAATTTGGCCGTTACTTTGACACAGATCAGCCGTGGGAAATTGGGGCTAAACTGCAACACGAACGGCGGCGATTTGGCACGTGCATCGGGGGTTGGCTGTTGATGCTGTTTGGTACAGTAGCTTCGGCAACAGCTAAAACAATTGATGCCAGAACAATGATGATGGTCAGGTCCGGTACGGGAGCATTGCCAATTATCCATGAGTAGCAAGCCCGAACTGTGTAAAACTCCTCACACTATCAGCAAATCCAAGATTTAGTATAACAACATCATCCCTTTAAATGAAAGGTCTTATTAAACCAATACAACAAGTGCAAACCCTGTATCGAGAATGCCAGAAGAACAACAACATAAAGCAAAAGAACTATAATAGTCAGTCCTCATTAGTCACAAATAAGTCATGAAGAGTTGGCTTGGCTTCCAATGTATTTATTCAAAACTACATCCAATAAAACATCCTAAAATGACTCTGTCAGCGACACATTCTTAAAAAATTGATCAGCTCAAGTCACAACCAAACCAACCTCTTACTCATCCAATTGTCGAATTTCAGCCTTCAATTGTTCAATTTTGAGACCCATAGACCTCTGCAAAGCCCCTCTTCCCCTCTCTGGCAGCTTAGCCAACAATCCCTCAAACATGCCCAAAACCTCATTGACGGCTGCACGTGCACACTCAGCTTCTTCGTCGAAATAAACAGTATCTTTAGACTCCAACGCCATCTCTATCTCTTCCCTGGCTTCCGCGAACTTGAGGTTGATGCTGTCCACCTCCTTCGTGTGATCCAACTCGCCAGACCCACCACTCAAACTCCTTCGATTACACCGAATCGCGAAATGGGTGTTCGGGATGTTTGAAAAAGAGTGAAACTTTAAGGTGGACGTGACGTGGGTCGGTGGAGTGAAGGGAGTAATTGGGGATTGGCGAAAAGGGTATCTGATTCTGAAGAAGGCGTTCAAGAGGGAAAGCTTCGTGCGGGGATTCATTCTATTTGTGGATTGCATCTGCCACAGAGAAATACAAGAAAGTCTCACAAAACTTTCAAGTCACGTACACAGCAACATAATTCCGATTTGATTATCTCTGTATCCACCTGCTTGAACCCCAAGGAGGAGATAGACTCTATACTCTAGTATTACTCGGACGTGGTAGTATTTTTTAAATGACTTACTGGGGCAAAACAAAATAAAAGCTACGTTATTATTATATTATTTTATATTTAAATTAAAAAATTAGTTTAGTTTTATGAAATGACAAAAGAAGTCCTCGTTAAAAATCACAAAAACTCACGCTCTGCTGGAAAACTGGTTTCGAAAAAGTTTCATGCTTGGCCGTATGGTTGATGCTGGTGTCTCGAACCATCATCTACACGAGGATGGATTGAGGTACATTACAACGCATGTTTCGGGAAGGAAACTTTAATGCTGATGGTTTGGCCAAACTAATAGTGACATTACCTTAGGGAAGTGTTGCCGTGGCTTACTCTGCTTGCTTGATCCTTCTAAACGTGTCAAATTGTGGAGATTGAAATCCAAATGTTTGTCAATTGGTTGTGGATAATATTGGTCAATCTGTCACCAAAATGTGTACCTTTGGTGCAAATCCATGGACAGTGCTTCAGAATTTTCCATGTCAACCTACTGAATGCCTAGGAAAATTTGTGGATAGATAAGACTAATTATCGATGGATGATTTTTTTCCCTTGATTTGGGGTATGGTGAATTGTCTCTGCCTCGTGTGCCTGACGTGGTTCCTAATACTTGGATTGAGTTCATGATGATCCCTGACGTACGTTCAGCACGGGATTTGTAGATGGTACGAGCTCCACCCCATGGCGATTACATTTCAGAAGATGTTGTTCTTCGTAGGATAATGAAGAACTTGGGTTGGGTTATCTGCATATTTATCATGCAAGTTTGGTTTCACCAAGATTTTAAAATCACATTTGTGTAGACTCTTTTCTAGCACACTTCTTTCGGTGAAGCCTCAGCCTATTGTTTCTCTTAATATTATGTTTTAGTGGTGAATAAATTGTGACGAATTTTTAAGAGGCGAATCATTTAATGTAAAATCCACCATGTTCCACAAATAATTTAGACTAATATGAGGTGCATGACATTATAATGTATTATGTATCCTCCACACCAAATCAACATTAATCCAATAATTATTGTACATTTTGTTGAAACGTCATTCATTATTGTATAATTTCATTAGAGCTAGGAATGACAAATATATTCGTACCCGCAGGTAATACTCGAACTCGTCCCGACTTTAACGGGGAATATTCAGTTTGACCGGGTACAGGTACGGGTAAAACCCGATATATTAAATCGGGTACGGGTACGGGTACAGGTATGTACTTACCCGTCCCGTACCCGTACCTGTACCCGTCCC